TAGCTGAATATGGTAACAGAAATAAGTAATAATTTTCAAAATCATTGTTTTACTTAAAATAAGTCAAATGCTCTCTAGCGAGCCTACGTATCGCCCAATTATTGCCATTGGAGAATGGGTTTTTATCTGCAGAGCAAGTTTTATTCGTTTTACTTTCACAGCTTAATTACATATCGACATTAGTGTAGTCATGGAAGTTTTGGATAATTTCTTCTCACTGTTCTTGTTCATTTTTTTCTGTTCAAATTTAAAATTAGTGAAGTTAGGTCCAGAGGCAGAATATTGCGATTCAGATTTGAAAGGTGCATGTAAAACGCAAAGTCAAATATTTTCAAAAACTTACTCGCCAGATGAAAATTCAGATTTTCGTGAGAAAATTTATGTTGTAAGCAGCAATACATCTCCTAATGAAGTAGAAAATGAAAAGCAGTTAAGAGATGAAGAACCTAAACATATTTATCACCCAGAAAAAAGGTTGAAAATGCAAATGATATAATTATAAGTATCATTTTACTTTAATTGTTTCAAGCATATACATGACTGATATTAATAACTTAAGTTATAATACAAGTGTTACTGTTAGTATTACTGTATTATTCTTTTTCTGGTATTTGAAATGGATATACAAGATAAATTGAGAAACGCAGCATAAGTAGATATAAGAAATATTTTATTTGCAGTGTGAAACTTAAATATAATTAATGATAGAGTAGAGGAAGAATGAAACAAAAATGTATTAGTTTAAATTTAATACCAATGCAAATATTTTAATTTTACATGGATGAGTTAGGACTGTGTCTTTTTCACCCTTTATCATAATTTAAGAAGCCTTTTTTAAACTTAACACTAAAAGTAACATTTTTATTAATTATATATAGTTTATTGAATTTACTTACTTTTAATATAATTAGTGTCTTTTTAATTTTAGTTAATATAATGTTTAGTAGCAAGACTGATCAACACAAATTTAAATAAACAAAAACAAGAAATGACAAAAGTAACTCCCTAAGTTCCATTAATTTATTGAAGTTACTTTTAATATAATTAGTGTCTTTTTAATTTTAGTTAATATAATAATTTAATGTTTTAACTTTTAACATTTTCAACATATTTGTTTATAGTGTGCAGAGAACACTAACAGTGTTCACTTTTTTACTTAAAATCTTAATTTATTTTGAATATCTACATAAAACAGTCTCAAAGTTTCTAAAATGAGAAGTATGTCTCTAAGAGTTCTATGACATTAAAATTAAACAATTTTTCCCTTACTGTTTAATCTAAAACATTTTTTTCTGATATTAAAAAAAATTAACATTTTATTTTTCCTTAAACATAAAAAGGTAAGGAAAATATATTAGTAGACCTAAAAATAGTCTGGCATTGCCTAATCAGTAGTACAGATAATTGTTAAATGGGTAAGAACATTAGTATCAGGGCACTTGTGTGAACCAAAAGTCCTGGTTTCAAGCCCCATTCTGATTTGGTGAGATGCCATTGAATTGTTACGACTGTGAGCAATGGCACCATTTTAGACGTGTATTTTCTAAGGATTTACCCTTGATGTTGGACGGTGTCATTGGCAATGGTGACACTGTTCAACTTGATAGTTTTTTAGCTTTTGCAGGCCCTTGGCTTTTTTTACTTCTATTTAGATTTTTACCTCATTTTTGGACATTGTTTAGCTTTTAACTTGATTACTTTTTACTGTATTTTATTTGCAGATTTTTTACTGGTTGTTTGGTGCAGATAGCCTTGATGCTTTGCACCATAAAACACCAGACAACCAACCAGCCATTGAGTTTGTCCTTGCTATTAGTTAAGTGAAATAAGCAGTACAATGAAAAAATAATAATTAGAATAAAAAAAGTGGAGCTATCATTGTCGTTTTTGGACTGTTAGTTTTATTTCCGAGAAAATTTAGTATGCCAGAATTGAGCTTGGTAAATACTAAATCATCATATAATTACAGACACGTCCACTAAAATGTGAATTGAGCTAGAATGCACAACAACTTGTAAATACACATTAGGTTAAGAATATTATTTTTATGAATTTATTAAGACCTAGTGACTGTACTTACAGCTTAAGATATGGTAAAAAATATTTCCAGTATTATGTGAGTGTGTGATTATTTGTGGAGAGGGTAAAAACATGTTTTTAACTCTCATTTAGCCATGTGAGGTCATTATGACTCCATGCAATTTTGTTAATTAATTATTGTGTGATAAATGGCACTTTACTTAGCCCTGCCCATAGTAGCTTCCTTAATTGTGTGTGTGTGTGTGTGTCCATGTTGCAGTCTTCATCGATATTCTGGAGTTGTAGGTGATCAGTACAGTGAAACAATAATATTCCTTGTCTTGTATTCAATGTTTCTGTAGATGTTACCCAAAATCCCATTATCCTTATTGCTGACTATGATACACTGTTTAGATGACTTAAGTGATTTTTTTTATCACAACACCAAGATATTTTTCTTCAGCCACGGTATTTAATGTATTCCCATTTAAATTGTAACAATAATTTGATCTGTGAAAACCTACATGCATCACCTTACATTTAGGATAGTTAAACATCATCTGCCATGTACTGGGCCAATGTATCAAATGATCTAAATCTTCCTGTATGTCTGCAGCATCTTTGATACAGTTAACCACTCCAAAAATCTTAATGTCATCTGTAAACTTCAAAATTTTATTAGTCATTCCCGAGTCAATATCATTAATATAAATCACAAACAGCAGAGGACCCAGCACAGAGCTCTGAGACACACAACTTGTAACTGTTATCCAGTCAGATCTAACTCCATATACTACTACTTTCTGCTTTCTACTCTCCAGCCAATTTTCTATCCAATTTTATAACATTTCTCCCACACCCACAAATTAAGTTTTTTTTGGAAAAAGTCTCTTGTGAGGCACGTTATCAAACGCTTTCTAAAAAATCAAGGTAAACCAAATCCACAGTATTTCCTTCATCAACTATTGCAGTAACACCCTCAAAGAATGTCAGAAGATTTATTAAACAAGACTTTGCCTAATTGAAACTATGTTGGCTCTTTGACACTATATCATACTGCTTTAAGTGACAATGCAATGCATCTTTAATCACACTCTTCAAAACCTTTCCAACTACTGATATAAGAATAACTGGTCTATAATTGCCTGGATAATGTTGACCAAGAAGTAAAATTTTTCTTTTTAATAATGAATTTTATTGTTCAGTATGGCATCCATTTTGAACAAGTTGTACATCTTAATTTTTTGATATACCTATTCACAAATTTTCTCAAGGTTATTGTGTATTACTCCTCACCCATTTAATATGGTAAGTACTTTGTTTTTCAATGCTTACATTTTTGTTGTAGAGTAGTGAACTATTGGTTTTTGAAGTTAGCCATATTGATCTGGTGATCTTTTCAGTTCTGTTTTTATTTATGTTCAGATTCTTAAGTGCCATTTGGTATGGGAAGAGTAGATCTAAGTTATTCTTTCCCTAATGGTTCTTACTGATGGTCTCATTTCAAAATCTGTTTTTTAATGCTAGCTTCCATAAAGTGTGTCAACTTCATTTTCCAGATCTCTAGTAGGCCTAGAGTTATTTTTCACTACAGTTACTGCTCTCTTTTCGTCAGTTGAACTGGGTTAACACCATTGTTGGAACATGTTAGCACCTATCAGTAATGGATATCATTTATGTGGATTAATCAGTACATTATCTGGAGTCCTGGCTTAGACTCTTATAACTTATTATTCTTCACCAGTGTATCAGACCCACTTATCCTACTTGGAGTTGGAGGTTGGTTTATCAAGTTGACACCTGTTGTAGGAGACATCAACAATTGACTTTATTTCTCTACCTAGAGATCCAATACATTAATTTCACTAACATATTTTAGCTTGAGAATACATTTTTTTAAAGTTGACTATAATTCTGTAACTTTAAACTGAAGTCTTTATCTGTTTTTAGTAATTGGAAGTTATTATAAAAAATCTGGATGGTTAAACCTAATAAATCCAAAACTTATATCTGAT